ATGTTTTTTGTGTGTGGCATTATACATGGTATATAAAATGAGATTTTTATGTGACAGCAATGAAAAAGTGACAAAATGATGACAATATGTAGTACACTACTCTCATGTAATCTTCTCCAAAATGCATTTACTCTATTGGATCATTTGAAGTCTGTCCCATATAGGTACCAATTCTTGGAAGCCACAACTATTGTCAGTATCTAGAAGGGTAATTTATTTTCTTAGTGAATCTAGTCTGTGTGTAATTTTTTTAAAGCATCACTTTTTTGCTGGGTTCGAGTGGCTCATGCCTGTGATCCAAGCACTTTGGGAAGCCAAAACAGGCGGATCACAAGGTCAGGAGTTCAAGACCAGCCTGACCAACATGGTGAAACCCTGTTTCTACTTAAAATACAAAAATTAGCCAGGCTGGTGGTGGGCACCTGTAATCCCAGCTAGTCAGGAGGCTGAGGCAAGAGAATTGCTTAAACCTGGGAAGTGGAGGTAGCAGTAAGCCAAGATTGCACCACTGTACTCCAGCCTGGGCAACAGAACAAGACTGAGTCTCAAAAAAAAAAAAAAAAAAAGCACGACTTTTTATAACAACATTTAATTATATACCTTAGGGGAGATAAAAATTAGAATTGGAGTTTAAATCTTAGACGTAAACTACAGAATGAAGAATTAAATTTTTAATTATTTCCCAAATCTTTCTAAGCTATAAATACTCTTTTTAAAGTATTAGTATAATCAGCATGGTATAGTTAAAAAAAGATTGTATTTTGGCATCAATCAGAGCGTTGTATCAAATTTTACTGCCACTTTCTGTTTATGTGATATGGCCTTAGGCAAGTTATACTATTTTCTTCTGCAAATTGGTATCAGGGATAACAATGGCAGGGATATTGTAAAGAGTATTGGTAATACATATGCAACTAACCTAGTATCATATATTCACTAAATAATAAGTAATGTGATTATTATTGTCTCTTTCAAGTGAAGATAACACTTTCCTAACCCTGGACTCCTACAATATTCTTATCTTGTCATTAATTTTAACTTGAATCTTCTATGCACTTTCCACATTGTGAAGGTTAAATTTGTCTATACAGAACGTGTGTTCATGATCTCAAACAAACCTATGACAACTGTGTTTTGAGACTTCCTTAACAAATTACTTTAAAATATTATTTTGGGGCAAGGAGGAGGAATAAGTAGGAAAATTCCTAGGTTAGAGACAGGAAAGAAGCCTAAATTAGATTTAAAATCTACCTCCCTGGGGAACATTCCTCTATGCTTTGTATACTAGATAAATATAAGTACCATACCAATCATGATTATCCTTGAGAGAAAGACAATTGTAGCCATTTACATAGTAGCTTACATATAACCTGACAATAAATTTTAAGTGAAACATATAATAGGTAAATGGAGCATACTACCTGTAATAACAGAAGATTTTTAACAGTCAATTAATCCATATTAAATATTCTATGAGTTTGAAGTATCTACAGAGATAAAATAAAATATAGTTTTCTTTTCCTCTCTATAATTGTAACACAATGAAATATAAGCCACAGAGTTAATCAGGTAATTCTTGCCAGTGTCCCGCGATTTGTATCTAAAGTCAAAGAATTTTAATGCAAAATCAACAAAGAAATATTGTGTGTAATATTTAAATCTTTGTCAAATATAAGAAATCAAAATGACATTTTAACAGAGCAAATATCCAGAACTAAACTGATATATTCAGATGTTATTTTCAACCTTTGAATTAACACTAATATGAAAGAATAGAAAAAATGTTAAAATTAAAAGATTTTTAAAGCACAATAGTAAATTATTGTGATTTATTATGATGCTGTGATAACCCCAGGAGTTATTCAAGTGGTGAGCCCTACTTCTTGCTCCATTAAATGTTTTCAGGGTATCATGCATTTCTGGATGACATCTCTTCTGACTTCTTTTTTTTATTTTTTTGAGACGGAGTTTTTCGCTCTTGTTACCCAGGCTGGAGTGCAATGGCGTGATCTCAGCTCACCGCAACCTCCGCCTCCTGGGTTCAGGCAATTCTCCTGCCTCAGCCTCCCGAGTAGCTGGGATTACAGGCACGCGCCACCATGCCCAGCTAATTTTGTATCTTTAGTAGAGACGGGGTTTCACTATTTTGACCAGGATGGTCTTGATCTCTTGACCTCGTGATCCACCCGCCTCGGCCTCCCAAATTGCTGGGATTACAGGCTTGAGCCACCGCGCCCAGCCCTCTTCTGACTTCTTAATCTCTAGGACTTATGGGACCCAAGAGATAAGAGTATATGAAACCAGACAGGCTGAGTGATTTACTCAGTCACTCTATTTTCAGAATGAAACATTAATAACTTTACTCCTGTACATGTCTCTTTTCAATACCAACTTTATTCTCTTTAGTGATTTGCCTTCAGCCTTATTCTAGTTCCCATTGTTTTTATCTACAGTAGTTTTTCTCCATAAGCTAAGTTGGACTATAAGGTTGATGAGAGATGATGTAACTAGCATTTTAAAAATTAATCATATATGATATATAATTGTTTAGGCACATGTGTACATTCTATGTGTTTATATTTTATTCAGTGTGGGCAGAAGATGAATGTCTCTCATTTTCTTAGAGGTTGATGTACTGGATATGAGATTTTTTAATTTAGTTTGAGAAATTTTTTATCTTTTGAGAGCTAATTTTCACTTTACTTTTTACTGTTTTTTAGTATTAAAATCTAACAGTTGAAAATAATTTTCAAATTTTCACAAAGAATTTCCTAACCAATAAAGTATCATCAAGTTTCAGAAATTTTCAGATGCTTAGGATGATTTATTTTTTCTTAGCAAAACTTGGAGTATAGATTAATATGCTCCAAAGTTCATAGAAGAGAGATAAAAAATTCAAATTTACTTATAAGCCAAAAAAGATGTAATGTTATTTTTAAAGATTAGATCTCATATTTGAGTCCATATTTTATCATTTACTCATTTGACCCAAAGCTTGATTGATCCTTTGTTTAAATCCCCTGATTCTTGCCTACATTACATCTTCTACACTATCGTGTATCGACTAAACAGTTGACTCTCTAAGGAAAAATGCATATTTTGGACAACTTCCGTGTTGATTCTTGAAACATAAACACTAAGTTCTCGCTATCTTGTTAGGTAACAAACAGAATATACTTATGAAGGAATGGCTGGTATGGACAAAATCTTGTTAACTGAATTCTAAAATAGTGGAAGTATTTAGAGACACATTTCTGATAAACACAAGAATGTACTCTTTTGCATAATGAAACAATGTATGAGAAATGTAAACCTTTATGCTTAATATATGCTAACAATATAAGGAGAGTAAAGTAACAGTTTAGGTACATTTATGGATGTTAAGGGAAAAGGGGATAGGAAATTGGTAATAGAGTATGATTGAAAGAGTGCTGGATGGGGAGCTTCATGAACTGAATTCTAGGACTTGTTTTTTCCTTAAGGAGATATATGTATCATTAGAAAAGTCTAATTTCTCTGAGTTTCAATTGCCTTACAGTTAAAATGATTGGACATAATTTGTCCATTTTTAAGCAGACTAATATATTTTTATTGTTTATATATTTTTTTGAAAATGAAAGTGCTCAAAACTACAAAATTGAAATGATTGATTAATAAGTAATATGTGAATGGATTTGGCTGAAGGAGTTTGAGCAGCCAAAGTACAGCCTGTTCAGCCATCAGCTATTCTTGGCAACCCTGAGGCAATGCAGAGAATACAATTTGAAAGTATTTACAAATATTCTCTTCACTGCCTTTTATCAAATATACTTTATGATTCAATGTCAATTGTCTTAAATGGAAACAGAAATATTTTTGTCACAAAATGTAATTGGCTTCCTCTGTCAGAGGGACAAGTAAAGAATATGAACCACAGATCTATTTCAGTATATCCATTTTTTCTGTTTTTATAAAATTAAACTGATAGTTTCTTATTTCTTCTTTTTCTTTTTAAAGATCTATTAAATGAGCTCTTGTGTGTGAAGATTTGTGATGCTATTTATATTCTCCTGAGAGCTTAAAGGTCTGGTACTGAGCAACTTGAATAAACTCCAGGTGAATATATTTCACCATATATGAATTGAAGAAAATAAAATTTATCTCCTGGGACATAAGAGTAAGCAATTCGAAATTTCTTGGATAAACTATTCAGCAATTATATTTTTCTCTGGTTACTATTACCCCTATAGTTTGGCCATTCACTTGGGTTATCAGATTTTATTATGACAACATTGTCTTTTGGATTTATTGGTACTTCAAGTTGGCTAATAATCTCTCTTGCAAACTTTTTCTATGCTAATTCTGTGACTTTTTGTTATAATTATCTAAAGGTTAGTAAGGGGGGGTCTCTTGATTTGTATAAAATTCATCTTGAAATCTGTATCTTTACTATTTTTTTCAGTTTTTTTAATAGACTAAAATTTTGTACTTTTTTTTCTTTGTAACTTCATGATATTGACTTACCTAACTGATTTTATTGCATTTATGTTTTGTTTAACTTTCACCTTATAATGTTAACATCTTTCAGAGGCAGAGTGAGATCTGACTTTCCTTCTTTGGCTCTCTGAATTCAGAAAAGGTCTTCCTCTATTAAAGCATAAACACATTACTTTGCATCTCCAGAGTGTATAGCTTCATTAGTCGTTATCTACTGAATGAAGGTTGTGTCCCTTGGTATATGGAGTTGACATCTATTCATTTTTCTAGTATATAATGAATCCAAATGATCCTCCATCAAATAATTCTGCTAGGCTTTCAGTCACTGGAAAGTACTCATCTAAAAGATATTTAAAGTATGTGTCCTCAAGAAGTTATAGTCACTGTATTTGTTTATCTGCCATTTCCTCCGTGTCTTTGTAGAGAACAGGGAAAGAATTCTGATCACATTAGCAAATGATATAAATTAAGTCATGCACAGTCAATAACATGTTTTCTTTTGGACATTTTTATATCTTTCACAGAATTCCCAACTTGTGAGCCACTAACACAATTTGTATGCAAAAGTGGAAGATGCATTAGCAGCAAATGGCACTGTGACTCTGGCAAGTACCAAATGCTCACTGTATAGCACTGATTTGACTGGGAGCCTGGAAGTCTGGACTGCCTGGCTTTCTTCAGAGGTAGTTTGTAGGGGAAGCTTCCAGAGCCAAGAAAAATGGCTAAGACAAGTGGTTAGCAGGCAGCTGGCACATCACTGTGAATTATCATTAAAGAAAATGGAGCTCAGTATTTGCCCCATGACTCTATGATAGAGATTTGCTTTTCAAATGTTATGTTGGATATAGTCTAAGTCTACAAACATGTAGTACAGTGAACAATTGAGGAAATAGCCTGGACAGTTAAGGTTCCCTAAAGCACTTCTCCTCAGGAGGGCTTATACATTAGTATGGAATTTTCCAGATTGTCTCAAGTCTGTCAATTTCCTCTTATGTTCATATGGTATTTTTTATTATACTAAATTATATTACTATGTTAAATTATGCCAAATACAGGTAAATGAATCATATAAGAATCAATGCATTCCCAGTCATTTAATCTGATCTACTTTTACTTCGCATTTGTCTTCCCTCCCTCCTGAAAAGGTTGTTAATAAAGAATATAAATGATTTTTAATGATACTGTACAATAGTTTCCAAGTATAAATATATACAGAGGAGCCAAGGGAGGAGGGGTACACAGTGGGTTCTCATGGTGGAGAATTGGGGAAAAAAGGAGGATATTAAAGATAGAATTATAAACTCTGGGGCATAAGAATTATGGGGCATAAGTAATAATCTGGGGCATAAGTAATAATCTTTTATAATGATTATGTTATTGATTATATAATTTCATGAAATTCGTACCGTCACAATTGCCTCCTTGTTTCATGGTGCATAGATGCATTCAGTCAATGGTTAGTTATTTCTGTGTGAAAAAAGAAATTAAACTTCAAAATTCAAAGTCAAGGATTTTTTCTCTCAGTTTAGCAGTTGATATTAAATCAGAGGAGAAGCAATGTGATGATGAAAATAATTCATCCACTGTTTATGAGAAATGTTGTTCCACTGATTGAATTATCATTCATTTTTCAAAAACAAAACAAACTTTATATAGAAAAAAAAATGGACTGCATCCTGTGGCTCACATCTGTAATCTCAGCATTTTGGGAGGCCGAGGCAGGTGGATTGCTAGAGGCCAAGAGTTTGATATCAGCCTGGCCAGCACATGCCAAAACCCTGTCTCTACTAAAAAAATACAAAACAAAGTAGTCAGGCATGGTGGCATGTGTCTGCGTTCCCAGTTGCTTGGGAGGATAAGGCGGGAGAATCGCTTGAGCTCCAGGAGGTGAAGGTTGCAGTGAGTCGAGATTTTGTCTCTGCACTCCAGGCTGGGTGACAGGGCAAGACTCTGCCCCCACCCCCCCCCCAAAAAAAGTGAGATTGTAAGAAAAATGTTCTCTGTGGATCAGGTTTCATGGCCTCATGTTGCTGTTTCTTTCCAGATGACGACTGTGGGGACAGGAGTGATGAGGTGGGCTGTGGTCACTCTTGCTTTGATAATCAGTTCAGATGTTCCAGTGGTAGATGCATCCCAGGCCATTGGGCCTGTGATGGTGACAATGACTGTGGTGACTTCAGTGATGAAGCACAAATCAATTGTCCCAAAGAAGGTTAGTAATTTTGTAAGTTAATGAAATCTCATTTTAAAAGTTGGTATATAATAATACCTAGAATATTACAGAGAGAATATTATATAACAAATTTTTACCTAATAAGGCAAAAATATACATGTGGAACTGTGTACAATCATTTGCTATCTCTTTACTTTCCCTCTTTTCTTTTTTCCTTTGGTTTCTCACCTCAGTACCTCCTTATTCCTTCTTTCCTTCTGTGGTCTTTGTTTTCTACATTTACTTGATGCTTTACTTACTACTCTTTATATCATCTAAACCCTAAAGCCATTTCAACAGGGAAAAAGAAAAAAACAAGAAAGGAATAATTTTACTTTTATTTCATACAAAATTTGTTTACATGAAGTTTGAAATAATCCCTGATTAAATGGGGATGTATTTCCAGCTGATTGACTTTCTAGAGTACAAGCTAAGAAAGGAAGGAGATCATGACCGTGGCTCTCAGCATATCCATGGGGATAATAACCCTGTCATTTGCATGGCATATTTTGCAAAATTTGACCATTCATAGAGCATATTAATAATTTAAAAGTAATGTTGGAAATATCACAGAAAAAATCATTAGACTGTCAAGCAGTCATGCAATCAGTACCATTTTAACAGAAATTTTTCTCGGCTAAGAACTGCATGATATTATTTATTCTTTCATTTATCTCACAAATATTGATTGAGGACTAAAGAATAAATAAAAGGATGAAAACTATGGCACCTGCTCAGTTTAAATATCAGTGCAAACAAACAAGCAACAAAGTATTTAATGAGGAGCGGTAAGGAAATCATGTACTCTCTGAACATAAGAAAGCATTTTCAAAGTGTTTTACACTGAGATATGATTGTCTTCTGCAATATTTGTCAACTAATAGTTTCTAAATTGTTTTCTCTCATATGGATTCCTTTTGTCTTTTGTTTCCCCTCTCTCTCTTTAAACTATAATTTCCTGAAACAGTGGTTATTAAATTATCTATATAATACTAGATTCTCTAAGAAGCAGCCCAGCTGTTTTGTGGATTCTCCAAGTGATGTATTAAAAGACATTTTGTTTGATTTTTTATTTTACCTGGATAACCTGGATTACATGAGTCATAGCAGTGATCCAAATATGGCTACACAACGACCGATAGAGCATGAGACAATGAAACACAGGTTCTCATGGCTAGTGGTCTTGACACGATTCATGTCTTTCCCTGGCGGTGGACATAGTAGAAATTATAATGAAAACAGAAATGAAGAACTTATTTGTGACATCTTATAAGATTTAACATGAGCATATTTGAAGTGAATTTTGTTTCAAAAACAGAAGAATGAACTATCGATAAAGCTATCATTTAATATTATCCCTCATTCTCCATTATGTAATAAGTTCAAGTCCTCACTCTCCTCTCTTTATCTCATTATTGCGTTAATTTCTCTATATATTTAGTCGTTCCCTAAGTATATATGAGCTGGAACTTTTTGCATATTATTAATACTGACTGAAAAAGGAAAAAGCGTATGTAAAGTTTTTTCCCCCTTTTTTGGCTAATATTTGAGACATTCATCTAGCAGTGGTTGACATTCCATCACTACATAACACTTTAAATGTAAACTGCATTCTTCTTCCTCACAGATGTCTTCAAAGGCTCCTCATGGGGTGTGCGTCTGTGGTCTGCTAACTCTGCCCCACACGTGCTGTGAAAGATAAATTGCCCTAAAGTTAATTTATTGTCATCTCAGATGTGAGATCACATCTCTCTCTTGTATGTATGTTTATCACTAAGTTAAAACAATCATTATATATGAAATTTTTAAAAGATTGCTTTTCCCTCATGAATGTCCAGATTTAGTGGCACACCCTTTTGTAGGCTCTGTGGATAGTATCTCAGGTAGCATTATTATAGAAGCAGTGGCTATTTAATGTTAATGCCCTTCTTATTTAGAGCATCTCAATTTCACTAATAGATTGCCATAAAGGATATACTGTCATTTTGAATGCCAGGTATTCCTTATATGATTATGGAAATGATCCAGTTAGTCTACATGACTCCTTGACATGTTTCAAGCAAAGAATGAGGAAAATTCTTGACCTAATTTATATTGATCAGATTATACATTTTACTAGGATTCCCTAATCAAATATTCTACATGCTGAATACAAGGTGGAGGAATTGAGTCAAGTTAGCATTCTGGTATGACTTTGGTAAAAGACAGTTCAAAAGATTTCAAGCGGAACTTAAATATTTATATTCATTATTATTTTGATTGTATATTCTAGTATAGAAGTTGTAAAATGATGACACAGATTGTTAAAGCTGATCGGCAAAGTCATTTGCACATGTAGGATTTGTGAGCCATTGCCAAGGTAAAGTAGAAATTCACTTCAATTGGTCGTATAACTCAGTCCCCAAACCTGCTGTGGAAGAAAGACCAGGGGATTCTGGCTTGAGTTTCAAGACTGGCTGTCAAAACTGATAAAATCCACCATATAATTGTTTAGCACTTTGCTTTACACTGCCTGGGTAAGCAGAGCATATGGTGCAATTTCTCTCAACACAATTGTTTTCAAAAAGGTAGGAATATTCATAAATTAACTTTTAATACTAAAGGAGGAAGAGAAACTGGAAAATGGAACATTCCATATATAATCTTCATTTCAGAAAATTTCTGAATTTAAGGTCAATATGTATTCTCTCTAAAATCATTTTCAAAAGAATTATTTTGTCAAATTTTATTTTTCATAATAGATTCAGGGGGTACTTTTGTAGGTTTATTATAAAACTATTTCTTGATTCAGGTGTTGTGCTATGAACTTTCCTCTTAAGACTACTGTTGTCAAATCTCAGAGGTTTTAGTATGCTGTATCTCTATTTTCATTTATTTCAAATAATTTTTAAAATATCTGCCTTCACTTTGTTGTTTACAAGTAAGTCATTTAGAAGCAAGTTGCTTAGTTTCCATGTAATTGTGTGGTTTGGAGAGGTCCTCTGGCTACTGATTTCTCTTTTGATTCCACTATAGTTTTAGAACATTCTTGGTATGATTTTGATTTTATAAAAATTTATTGAGACTTGCTTGTGGTTGAACTTAGATTATGTTCAAGTGCAGATGAGAAGACTATATATTTTGGTGGTTGAGTGGAGTATTCAGTAGATGCCTATTAAATCTAATTGGTTGAATGCTGAATTTAATTGAGTAACACAATTTATTTGTTAGTACTCTGCCTCCACAATCTGTCTAATGCCATCAGTGGAGCATTGACTTTCCCACTATTATTGGGTAGCTGCCTAAGACTTTTCTTACATCTAGAAGTAATTGTTTTATGAATCTAGGTGCACTAATGTTGGTTGCATATATATTTAGGAAAGTTAGTATTTTTGTTGCATCAAACTCTTTATCATTATTTAGTTTCCTTCCTTGCCCTTTTTTTACCATTGTTGGTTTAAAGTCTATTTTACCTGATATAAGAATAGCAACCCCCTGCTCTTTTTTGTTTTCCATTTGTGTGATAGATCTTTCTCCATCCCTTAACTTTG